CTGGGAAAATACTTCTAACATGTGACAGATGTAGGCTAATTCCTGCAAAGAATTCCTGCAAATTAATAAAAAGACGAACAACTCAGGGCAAATGGTGTAAACAGATTGTTCACTGGAAAAGAAGTATAGTCAATAAACCTGGGAAAATGCCCATCCTGAGATTCCTCCATGAAATTGACAGAGAATTAAAATGTTTTAATACCTAATATGAAGAAAGATGTGGTCAAATAGGCACTTTGATAAAATTAAAGCTGGTGAAGGAGAAGTTACTAAAGGTTTTGGGGCCAGTTGGTAATGTAACTTAATATTTACAACGCATGTCTCCTCGGACCCAGCAATTCTGAGTTCATCCTACAGCTCTGCTCTTAGAACACAGATTTCTGGGCAAGAACATTTACTGCAGCATTATTTCTAACAGCAGAAAACTGGAATGGAAGTGTTCAACCTAGGCAGGGGACTGATCTAATAAACAACAGGACAGCCACACAGTGGAAAACTGGGCTCCTTTTAAGAAGAATGAGGGTAATTTAGATGTATGGATATGGATGTATGATTTTTTTTAAAAAGCATATCAGTATGGGTAGGGTTATCTTTTTTGTGTTTAAATACACACACCCCACACAGATTCAGAGTATGTAGAAAATTTATTGAAGGATACCCATGAACTGAATCAAACTCTCATCATTTTCTTATTCTAATACAGATTATGTATTAACTAGCTGAGGACAGCATCATGATTCCTTTAGAAGGGAAAAGTAGTTTTTAGTGGTTAATATTTGTTTCATTATTAGTTATCTGGTATTTTACAGTTTCAAGAGCATCTCATATCAGTGGCTATACCATTTGAATGAATTAGCCAGCTGATTGACTCTCAGAAATGGTTTTAAAAGGTGTATTAATAGTTGTCCTAATCTTGTTTTTCTCCGTTATTAGTGCCTTGATTCTTTTTTTTTTTTTTTTTGTCCTTTTTGAGACCGGCCGCACCACGCTCAGCCAGTGAGCGCTGTGAGTGCACCGGTCATCCCTATATAGGATCTGAACCCGCGGCAGGAGCACTGCTGCACTCCCAGCCCCGCACTCTCCCGAGTGCGCCACGGGCTTGGCCCAGTGCCTTGATTCTAAAAGGGTTCT